TAGACGCTAATATGACAATTGGCGATTGACAAATATAATAATACTTTTCTTAGTTGTGTTCTAAACCTAAACTGCAGAGTAAAAGTAGAGACAGAGTAAAGCGACATCTGAAGATTAGTATCGGTACTACAAATGACATTAAGTTTAATTTGACCTTGAGCTACCTACGTGAAACGTCTAGTTATTAGTGGTCTGTGAGTGGCACCATGGATTGGTGAGTTTGGATTGGGCGTTAGAAATGAACGTGGAGATAGACTCTTAGAATTTTGCCAAAATGAAGATCTGGTTATAGTAAATACCTTATTTGATCTACCTAAACGTAGATTATACACGTGGAAATCACCAGCAGACGAGAATCACACATCGTCAGAAACCAAATAGACTTTGTCTTGATCAGAAATAGGTTTAAAAATTCAATAAAATCAGCAAAAACTTATCCAGGTGCCGATATATACTCGGATCACGTCCCTATTATTGTCGAAATGGAAGCAAAATTAAAAAAGTTAAAAAACAAAAAGATTAGAAAAGAATTCGATGTGACAAGATTAAAAGATACTCAGATAGAACAAAGAGTTAGACAGAAAATCAATGATAATCTTAAACCATCAAGTCAAAAAACACCAACTCTAAAGACGTAAATGAAAATTGGAGAGAGGTTCAACAAGCTTTAAAAGAAGCGGGAGAAGAAATACGTGGACCAATACCAAAGAAAAGACATATGTGGATGACAGACGAAATACTAACTCTCATGAATGAAAGAAGAAAATATAAAAACATAAACACTAGCAAATACAAATCCTTAAACAGCAGGATTAGAAAAGACATAATAACAGCAAAAGAAAGATGGCTAACTGAACAGTGTCACGAAATAGAAGAATATGAAAAGAAATATGATAGTTTCAATATTCATCGGAAAGTGAAGGAAATGACGTCGGGAAAACAAAATAATATACATGTTATAAAAGACTCGAATGGTAACATTCTCACAGATACAAAACAACAACTAAACAGATGGACAGAAATATATAAAAGAACTATTCGGGGATGACAGACAACAAATCATAGATGAGGACTCTGGTGAATCGGGACCAAAAATTTTAAAACAGGAAGTTCAATACGCATTAAAACAGACAAAAGGGAAAAAGGCCACAGGTCCGGATGAAATCCCGATTGAGTTTCTTAAACTGATCGATGATGAAATGATAGACATTCTAGTAGAACTTTATGATCATATTTATCAAACAGGTATTTTACCAAAGGAGTGGTTAGTATCCACATTCGTAATTATTCCCAAAAAGCAAAATGCAAAAGAATGCTCAGAACACCGTACAATTGCATTAATGAGCCATGTTTTGAAAGTATTTCTACGAATAGTCCACAACAGAATTTACAGAAAGCTGGATGATGAAATTAGTGATAGTCAGTTAGGCTTTAGAAACGGCACGGGAACCAGGGAAGCATTGTTCGGTATAAATGTGCTCATGCAAAGAAATCTGGATATGAACCAAGACATGTATACATGTTTTATTGATTTTGAAAAAGCATTTGACAAGGTACAGCACAATAAACTAATTAATATTTTAAAAATGAAAAACATCGATAGCCGCGACATCAGAGTAATCTCGAACCTCTACTGGAACCAGAAAGTCAAAATAAGAATTGAAAATCAAATGTCGGAAGAAATAGAAATTCTTCGGGGTGTGAGACAGGGCTGTGTATTATCACCACTGCTGTTTAATATATATAGCGAAGCCATCTTCCAAGAAGCTTTAGGAGAGTGTAACGATGGAATGATAATAAATGGTGAAATTATTAATAATATAAGATATGCCGATGATACTGTCATATTCACTTCAACTCTGCAAAGTCTATCAAACATACTGGAACGGCTGAATGAAAAGTGTACCATATATGGTATTAAAATGAACTTAAAGAAAACAAAATTCATGGTCATTACAAAACATCCAAAAGACAACGAGACACCATATTAATAATATCCAGATAGAAAGGGTAGATAAATACAAATATCTAGGAACATTGGTTAGTCAAAACGCAGAACAAACGCAAGAGATTAAAAGCCGTATAGAAATAGCAAGGGCAAAATTTGTAAAAATGAAACATCTATTGTGTAGTAGAGACCTAAGAATGGATCTAAGGATAAGGTTATTGCGCTGCTACATTTTTACAACCTTGCTCTACGGATCTGAGGCATGGACATTGAAACAACTGGAGATTAAGAAATTGGAAGCTTTTGAGCGTTGGTGTTATCGAAGGATGCTACGAATAGCATGGGTAGACAAAATTACCAATATTGAAGTCCTTGATAGGGTTAATAAGAGGGAAGAAATTGTACAGACAATTAAGAGGCGGAAACTTGAATATTTCGGTCATATATTAAGAGGTCCTCGTTATGGGCTACTACGTTTGATTATAGAGGGCAAAATAAAGGTAAAAGAGATGTAGGAAGAAGACGAACCTCCTGGCTACGAAATCTAAGAGAATGGTTTAGTCTGAGCTCTAGCCAACTATTTAGAGCTGCTGTAAGTAAAGTAAGAATTGCCATGTTGATATCCAACCTTCGTTAGAAGATGGAACCTTAAGAAGAAGAAGATATTTGAATCAATTAGATGGAATTTAATTTACCATGCTAATTTAAAAGGTATTTAAAAATCCTCTAATTTACCGGTTTTCACAATTTTTCTTATTTGGTTAAATTTTAACAATTAATTGGAAATCATAAAATTTTGTAAATTTTCTTTTTGTTCCTCTTGATCTATAGAATAAAACTTATCGGTTACGGTTTTGCAAAAAGTTTCGTCAAAAAGTTGATTTTATAACAAAATTTAGATCTTCTTAGTTAAAATCGGTCGACTGGGTTTGAAGATATAGCTCTTCAAGTATACGGTAAAATGGGTTATTTTTGACCCTCCAAACGGGCATAGCTATAGTCTACTTTTCCAAAAGGTATGTGTTAAAATTCCGTGGACCCCCCCTCCCCGTACAAAACTTGTCAAAAAGTAAAAAATTGTTCATATATATATATATATATATATATATATATATTATATATATATATACAGATAACAACATTGTCTTGTTGACCATAGGAACTTAAATTTATTGCAATCCTATCTCTAGAGTATATTTATTATAATCCTCTAAAACTAATTTTTTGATTATTTTTTAGCCTTAATAGCAATACAAATAAATAAGTAAGTAAATAAGTAATATGCTTTATTGTCGCAAAAAATTGTACAAATTTTATGGACAAAGCTTATAACAATAAGACAAGAAAGAAGAAAAACAATCAGAATAAGATTACAATAAACTTCTTCTAAACTTAAACATAAAAAATACTACCTAATTCTTCTTCTTCTTCAAGTTCCACTCCTATCGGATATTGGAAATCATTCTGGCAATTATAATTTTATCGGTTACTCGCCTGAATAGTTCAATTGAACTGCATCCAAACCATTCACGGAGATTGCGTAGCCACGAAATTTTACGTCTTCCTACGCTTCTTCTACCTTTGATTTTACCCTGCATTATATTCCTTAGTAGTTCGTACTTTTCACCTCTCATTATGTGCCCCAAGTATTCCAATTTTCTGATTTTTATGGAATTTAAAACTTCGCATTGTTTTCCTAGTTGTTCGAGAACTTGATTGTTTGTTTTGCGATCCATCCATGATATTTTTAAAATACGTCGGTAACACCACATTTCGAATGCTTCTAGGTTTTTAATGTTGGATTTTTTAAGTGTCCAAATACCTAACTACCTAATTAGGAACCTACAAACTTCATAAAATATACCTAACAAAAAATAAAAATTAGGAAAGCAGATTAATGAACTAAGAGCCTATATACTCTTGTGCTAAAGAGTAACCAAATCTGTCAAACAGATTTCTCCTCATATTTTGAAGTAGGGCTGGTGTAATGCTTGCAGAGAAATTGCCTTTAATTCGACTAGGTTTGTGGCCCTTTCAAACGGATGCCTTTACATGTTTTCTTTGAGAAAACCCCAAAAAAGAAAGAAAAGAAGGCGTCGAACTGCCGGAATGATCTCATTCTGTAAAAGTTGTAAATATTTGGGCCCGTTTAGGTTTTCATCTATAAAAAATGGACCGACAATATGGTCGTCTAACATCCCAGTCTAAACATTTAACTTTTGCGGATGTTGCGTTCGCGCTGCAATACTGAGGTGCTTATTTTTCCGAGAATAATATCTTGCAACGGATGGATTGTGTTTTTTATATAATGAAAATGAAGATTCGTCAAAAAATAAAATATTGTAAGTGTAAATGTGTAAGTGTACATTTTCATTCTGTTTATATAACATAAATTATCAAAACTCCATCCGCCTAAAGTTATCTTCTGGAAACAGTTCTTGTGTTGGTTGTATTAAAACACCCATTCCTTTTGAGAACTTGCTGGATAGTTCAAACATTCACGTTAACTTCCCTAGCAATTTGTACACTATTTCAGGATGCACTTGCTTCCACAAGAGCACAAATATTAATATCCCTGTTTTGATGCTCCTTATCGACATGTGTAACACGTGGTTCATTATCTTCATGACACTTTTTACAACTGTTTACATATCCCGAAGTTTGAAAATGTTAGATGGTATTTTTAACTGTTGTAGCACTTGGTGGAGGTCTATTTACGAAGGCAACAATAAATAAATCAATTACTTCGCGTATGGATGACCTGGAAGTACCATGTTACAAAATGCACTTTTTCTTGGACGGTTTACAACGTAATAGGAATTTTATTAATTATTTGTTTATTCTTTCAGAACTTCGTTTGAAATTTTTAATGTCAATGTAACAATTACCACAATTCCTACCTACTGTGAAATGAATATAGAGGTGGAAACGTGTAACATGTGACAGCGATTGCCATTGTGTTGTATGGTCAATAAAACAATGTCGTGATCTGTATATATGTGTGTTTATAAATATTTATTATACAATTTGTGTGCAGTGTACCGTTTTTGTTTTGTTTTTAGGGCCGAAACGGACTGGGTAACATTTACGTTTGGGCAAGTGGTGATGGAGGTGAAGATGATGACTGCAACTGTGATGGATATGCCGCTAGCATGTGGACGATTAGTATTAACAGCGCAATTAATGATGGACAAAACGCTCATTATGACGAAAGTTGCTCGTCTACTTTGGCCTCAACATTCAGTAATGGAGCTAAGGACCCAAATACCGGAGTGGTAAGAAAGCTTCTTTATTGGTTTTATAAAAGTTATTTATGTACCAAGGGTATTAAACATTTTTTTTTTGTAATGAGTACAATGCTTTTAAAAAACTTTTGGAAAGAATGGCGAAAGGCTAACGCTGGACAAGGGCACAAACCTACTAAGATTTAGTTTTGATAGTGACCGTAATTTATTTGTATTTGTGAACAGTTACCGCCGAAAGTTTGAAAACAAAATAATACTTATGTTCAGAGTTTCACCATTTACCGACAAAAGTTGACATTCACTAATTTCGGTCTTTCACGAAACATATGTACTAATAGAATATTTTTGTAATTTCTCTGTTTTTGGTAGTAATAAAAACTGGTCACTTTATCCGCATTATTATGACAAATGTTATTGGTCTATTCAATAAACTTTGTATAAATGTTGCAGTCATTTATATTCAATGTCTAGTTGTGCAGTTGAAACAACCTATCGATATTTTGAAATGAAACATAAAATTTATTTTCTTGAACCTCCAAATAAAAATTGTTAACGCCAACCCTGTTATTTTATTGTGCGAGTAACCTCAATGTGACTATATCTTTATCCATTATTCATTTGTTTTCCAGGCAACTACCGATTTATATGGAAAATGCACAACGACCCATTCGGGAACATCGGCCGCAGCTCCTGAGGCAGCAGGTGTGTTCGCGTTAGCTTTGGAAGCGAAGTAAGTTTTTGTCCCATCCTCAACGAATGGAAAGTAGAGAGAAATTTAATTTAACGGAAAGAGGAAATTTTAATATATTACATATGTAGGAGTAAATTTTGTTGATGGAGGACATTATGTAGTCACTACAGCAATATAAGTTATGGATGTATTTTAAATTGTCCAAAAGAATTTACATATTAATTTACCTATCAATACATAATAATTTTCTATAACTATAGGTAGTAGTATGAAGTACTTGTATATATAAAAATCTTTTATTATACTTCTTCTTCTTCTTTCTTGTATGTAGGCTTTAAAGTCTGTTTCTTCTTCAATATTAGCCTCCTAAATTGTTTAAATTATCTTCTTCTTCTTCTTCTTCTTCACTGGCCTTACAACTCGGGGTGAGTCTTCGAAACATCCACTATCACCCTCTATCCTCTATGATGTTGCGCTTCTACTTCCCATTGTTGTACCCTAATTCTAGATAAATCTGCTTCAACATCATTCTTCCATCTTGTACTTGGTCGGCCTACTGATCTTCTACCATCTGGTCTTTCAAAAAACACTGTCTTTAACACTATGTCATCCTCTGATCGTACCGCGTGACCTTCTCATCTTATTCGGTTCGCCTTGATATGTCTAACTATGTTTTCAGTTCCATACAGAGTCACCAATTCAGCATTGCGGCGTCTTCTCCAATCCCCTGTGAATTCATCTCTTTGAGAACCAAATATTATTCTGACAACCTTTCTTTCAAATAATAGAAGCTTATTAATTTCCCGCTGGTTGAGAGTCCATGTTTCACTGCCATGTGTAATAATTGTGCAAATAATCGACTTATACAGTGTTAATTTAGATTTTCTTTTTAGCAGCTTCGATCTTAATAATGTTGAAAGGGGGTATAATGCTCTATTTCCCGCAGCTATCCTTGCTGAGACCTCTTTTTTTATGTGGTTGTCAGCTGTGATTATCGCCCCCAGGTATTTAAACTCCTTTACTACTTCGAAGTTGTGATCATTAATTCTGATGTTCTGCCTAACTCTTGGTCTTGAATTTTTGGTTACAACCATGTATTTTGTCTTTTCTTCATTTATTCAGAGACCCAGACTACATGTTTCCTCCTCGAGTTGTGAAAACACCTCTTTCACGTCTCTTGTAGAATGCGTGACTACATCTATATCATCAGCAAAGGTCAGCAACAGTTTTGATTCTTGGTCAGCAAATCCTCCTTTCAGCTCAGACGATATTTTACTTATTGTGACAAGGAGTCTCCCTGCCTAAGTCCTGAATTTAAACTAAATGGCATCGATGTTCTGTTTCCTATCTTTACTTGCACATTTGCGTTAATTCCACTAATTTTCTTGGTATTCTCATTTCTAACATTGCTATCTACAATTTGCTTCTTTTATGGAATCATATGCTTGCTGGAAATCTATGAAAATTTGGTGCACATCGCGGTTGAATTTCCAGTTTTTTTTTCTAATATTCGTCGGATGGTAAATACCTGATCTATAGTTGACCTTTTAGCACGAAAGCTGCACTGTTAGTCGCCTAGAATATCTTCCGAATATGGTGTGAGTCTCTTTAGCAAGATAATTGATCACTTTGTATGATCTGCTAATAAGCAATATGCCTCTATAGTTTCAGAATTGTTCTTTGTTTCCTTTTTTTATATGGGAATTATAACGCTTCTCTTCCATTCTCTAGGCATTTTCTGTTGTTTCCATACTCTCAGAATGATGTCATACAATTTTTGGTGTAAAATGTTTCCTCCTTTTTAACAACTCTCCATTTATCCCATCATTTCCTGGTGCTTTATGGTCTTTTAGAGAGGCAATCGCATTCTTTACTTCCTCAAGTGTTGGTGCTGGTATTTCGATATCTACAGAATGAAACGTAATATCTTCTTCCTCCGTCTCACTTTCAATATTTAGTAAATTTCGAAAGTATTTCTTCCATCGTTCGACGATTTCCGTTTTGGGCGAAGTCTCTTTTTTCCAATGGTTTCCTTGGCTGCTTGTTCTATAACTGATGCCACTTGCTGCCATGCTTGTTCTAACTCTACATTATGCTCTCCCTCTCCCAGCAATTGAAATCTGTTGCTTATTGCCACTTGGTAATCTAGTTCTTTATTTGGTGTTTGTAGGGCTTCTATATTCCATATTTCTCTTTTTTCTTGTTATTTCAGTTTTTGTATTGATAATCGCGTTCTTAACTTAGATTTCAACAGAAAGTGATTGCTATTGCTGTCAGCTCCTCTCATACTTCGCGAATTAATAATGCTACTAGAGTGTCTTGCGTCAATGAGGACATAATCTATTTGATTTCGTGTTCTTCCATCATTTGAAACCCATGTGACCTTGTAAATGTCCTTTCTCTCGAATTGGGTGGATTTAACGATGATGTTATTAGATATTGCGAATTGTGTTAGCCGGTGTCCATTATCATTTATTGTGTCGTGCAAGCTATGCTTACCAATTACTTATCTTAAATAATTAAGTTTAAATTATCGCACTGTCTTTTCTTGGTCTGCCAATACTTCTTCGTCCATTTGGTTACTTATTTCGTGTTATTCATACTATCCTATCCTCTGCAATTCTACTAATGTGTTCGTTACACTTCTGTTTCCGTTTTGTCACCCATCCATTTATTTCTTCTATATTGCATGTTCTTCCTATGTTTTTGCTTCTCTCCCTATTCAACAGACTTTGCCTGATATTCGTCGGAGTATTTTGATCTCTGTTGTTTCTAGTAGTCGTCTCGTTTTAGATGTGTCAGGTTTTGTCTCCGCCGTGTATGTTAATATAGGTCCAATTGCTGCTTTATATATTATTGTTTTGTGTCTTGTCTTAGGTGTTTGTTCTTCCAGATTGTGTCATTAAAAGATCCCGCCGCTTCACTTACTTAACGAATAACCATATCCGTATGTAGTTATATATATATATTATATATATATATATATATAATATATATATATATATATATATATATATATATTTATATATATATATATATATATATATATATATATATTTATATATATATATATATATAATATATATATATATATATATATATATATATATATATTCCCAGATATCTAAACCTGTGCTTCCTATTTTATTATTCTTCCATCAATTTCAATTTTACATCGAAGTGGGTATTTAGATGTTGTTATACATTTGGTTTTTTCTGCTAATATTATCACCTTGTATTTCTTGGCTGTTGTATTGAGGATGTGAGTTAATCTTTGGAGCTCATCATTTGTCTCGGCGATTAATGAGGCGTCGTCTTCATAACATAATATTTGGATTTCTTTGTTCATAATTCTGTAACCATAACTGGGCTTATGGAAAAATGGGCTTAACGAGTCACCTTGTCTGACTCCGCTTTGTACTGATAACAACTGTGTTTGTTTTCCATTGATTTTTGCCTGTACTTAATTATGGAAGTAGATGTTTTCGATGGTTTCTATAATATTGATTGGTATGTTTCTTTTATATAGTAGGTGTAAGACGTCTTCGACTTGGATGCGATCAAAAGCCTTTGTTAGGTCTATAAAACATATATATGCTGATTTATTGTACTCGATAGCCTTTTCTGTGATTTGTCTTAGTACAAATACGGCGTCTACGCAGAATCTTTCGGATCTGAAACCGTGTTGTTTATCTGATCAAGTTTATTGATTTTATTGGTTAGGACTTTTGTGGTAAGCTTAAGTGAAGTTTTTAGTAGATTTATATCTCTATAATTGTTGGGGTCTTCTTTATCTCTTCTCTTGAACATTGGTATCATTATGCTGTTTCTCCATGCGTCTGATATCTTGCAGGCAATGTTAGTTTTGTTTTCTCATCTCTAGGGTTATAATTTCTCCTCCGTGTTTTAGAAGCTCATTGATTATTCCGTCTGGTCCTGGTGACTTTCTATTTTTGAGTGAATTCATGGCTATCTCTACTTCCTGAAAACTGATTTTTATTTCGTGTCTTAAATCAGGTACGTTATTGTGTTTATTTTATTATGTGTACGTTTTATTATTTTCATTTCCTTTAAACAGTTCCGTCAGGTATCTTTCCCATTCGTTTGATGATATGTTTTTGTATTCCTTCAATTCTGCTATTTCTTTCCGTTGGTTTCTTATGAATCTTTATATTGGTTTTTGTGTACCGTAGAAGTCGCTTTCCATCCTTTTTGTAAACTGTTCCCATTGTTCATTTTTTGTTCTTCTAACTAACTGCTTTGTTTCATTTCGTATATATTTGTATTATACTTCTATTATAATATTGTATTAAGGTAGAATACATCAAAATGATTTAAGATCTGAAATGGCCATATAAGTCATAATATAAAGTCATATAAAACTAACAAATAAAAGACTCAATTTTTCCTTTGTGTTACATACATCAGAGGGCATCGATTTTGCCTGAAGTTTATTATGCCATTCTCCTTTACATAAATGTAAGTTTAACGTTTGAATTGTAAGTGTCCTTTGTATTTTGCATTATTTAATCCAAATCTAAATTTGGGTATGCCACTCGTTTTCTTGTTCAGCCTGCACCACTTCTTTTATTCTGATTGTTACAATACTTTAGACTGCAAATTTGTATATACATATGTATACAATCGAATCGCTACATGAATTTAGTGCATACTTATGGGAGATTTTAATGCCAAAGTAGGTGAAGGGCGGACTGAAGACGTAGTAGGAAACTTTGGTTTGGGTCAAAGAAATGATAGAGGAGAAATACTGGTCCAAAAGGCGATAATCAAAACCGCATAATAAGAATCCAGATTGATTATATATTAATTGACAAACGTTATAGAAATGGAATCAGGGGAGTTAAAACATATCCCGGAGTGGACATCGGTTCCGACCACAATCCTGTTGTTTGTAAAATTTTGGTACTGTACTTTTGTACAACTTTTGGTTGCTGTACGTATTTTCATTAGGCGATCAACATGTTTGCAGGATTTGAATCAAAGAATTATTTATGAATGTGAACTATACTTGAAGAAGTGTTGGAAAGAGTGACTCATGAATTTAACAATAGGCTTGGACATTGTCAGGAACTGAACGGCGAGCATTTTTAACATTTGAAGTGATTTTTGAAATTATTACACAGTATAACTACAAAAGGTCGTCTATTTTTTTAATATATGGAAGGATAATTAAGGAAGCTTTAAAGCATCTGGTAAAAGTTACTGCCAACAAAATGAGTCTGGCAGTATTATTAATTTTTAATAATATATTCTAAAACATACATAAAAATAAACACTGAGATTTGAAGAAAAGTAAGTATTGTTGTAGAAAAAAATATACATGTAGCGAGTCTTTGTGTGTGTCTGGAGAAATGTTTGGCCCCAATTGGTCTGTTTGGAAAAATTGGAAAGTTTTATATTATTTTTTGGAAGCTCTAAAGCGTATGGTAAAAGTTGCCGTCAACGAAATTAGTCTGGCAATATTTTCTCAAACATACGTAAAAATAAGCACTGGGACTATATAAGAAAATTTAGGACTATTTTTAAATATGTTTAGTATCTGATACCTATAAATTAACTGTCGTCGGCCCAAGCTAGCAAGTTTACATACACTTAGAATACACACAACCAAACTTATATGAAATCATCTGATATGTCTTATTATTTTAATCGACTTTAAATAAAACTATCCTACGAAGTCAAAGAATATTTATTTTAAAGCAATTTAATCAACAATAAAATTATTTGTTTTAAAGTCAATAGCACACAAAATTACAATGTACAAGGGATGCTGTTAAAATTATTTTTATTTATATATCTTTTTTTTAGTAGTCGATGTTACTAGCCCTAGGCCTTATGCAAGCTCCAATTCGCGTGGGCATGCTCCTAAACAAATTATCAAGATTTAATTATTAACAAGATTTTAATGTGGTAGGTTGTTCCTTTTCTTCAAGAGCAGCTTGTACTATCTATACGATGTTTTGTGAATTATGCCGGCGAGGTCTAGTCCTTTTTTAAGCATATCCCACAAATGCTCTATAGAGTGAAGGTCGGGTGAGCAAGCAGGCCACTACAGAATAGTGATATATTCTGCTTTAAGGAAGTCTGTAGTGACTCTGTTGGTATGTGAAGATTTCTCAGTCTCATAACTACAGCTTCTAGAACCAGATCAACATACCTGCGAGCTATAAAGTTGAATGGAAATTAAAGGAGTTTTTTAACGACCATATTACTTCCTCAGAACATAAAACTTCCTCTTTTATGTCTGTGAATATGTTTCCGTTCTTACTTGTCTTCCTCGCCCTCTAAGTACACGAATTCATTGGTTACATGATTTTACACAAATCCTGATTTCGTCTGAAAATAGCATATTTTGTCAATTTCCAATGTTTTAGATTTGGTATTGAAGACACCAATTACGGCGATCAATCTTGTGCTGCCTGGTTAACTCGGGAATCCGTAACTGTCTACTGCTGTATAGTCTTTGGGCACGAAATCTTCTTCTTATCGTTGCAACTGAAACACGTACACATGTACCTTCCAAAAACTGCTTTTGCAATTGCGAGTGAGAAAGTGGTTAATCTCTTCTAGCTTCTTGGACAATAAAACGATCGTCGCTAACCCTTGTTATTTCTTGTCGACCTTATAATTTTTTAAGAGTTAAACTTTAACATCCATGATAAACATTTTATTAATTTTCCGGACTGCTGCTTTCTAAATTGCTTATTTGAAAGTTAATTTAGCTACAAAATTTGAAGCTAAAATCTTTCTACAATTTTCATCTTTGTTTTGCTGTTATGAGATCGTCATTTTAAATTCTTTTGCTCTTCTGTCAAATTTGTTGACTAGTCTTTAGTAGAGTATCTTCATCTTGGGCTATTACCTCGTCTGCGTTATGTAGTATTTTCACTTCTTTGTTCCCTATTATGGCACTTTTACTTTGTTGATTCTTTTAATGACTTCATTTATGCTTTAATTGGAGAGCATAGGACTCAATAAGTTCCCAAGTTGTGTTCTGTTGCCTATGTTTATAAATTTCGTAAATTGTTTATCTAAACTGACTTCTACCTTACTGTTTTGGTAGATGTTTTTAATAGTTTTTATTATATCCAAGTTTCCAATTATACAAAAAATCTTAATTAAATCTTTAATTCTTACTCTATCGATCAGATAGTCGATCAGATATAGAAAAGCAGGTCTATTATACTCTAATGAATTCTGGGTAACTTGCTTTATGTGATTTATAAATAAAAAAAGCAAAATTTTTATTGTGATTGAAAAATTCGGTTATCAATGTATTATTCATATATCGATTTTATGTTTTAGTAATAAACTATCATGGAGAGATGTTCAGCACTTAACTGTTTTAACATCCAAACGAAATTCTCTTTTCGACGCCAAAGGAAGGTTTCACTGGACCATGAATGGAGTAGGACTAGAATTTAACCATTTATTTGGATTTGGAGTTCTAGATGCCGGAGCTATGGTGGCCTTGGCTAAGCGATGGAAATCAGTACCTCCGCGTTTTCATTGCGAGGCAGGTACTGTCGACAAAATCCAGTAAGTAATACATTACGAATATTGTTAAAATTCTGTAACAAATAATAATAATAAATATTATTATTAATAATATTTCTTTATTTAATATGACTCTGTACCATATTTACTTTATCGACAACAAAAAACTCGAGTTTCGCAAAATGTTTTTAACGATTTTATGACCTTATAAATCAGACCGTTTCATAATATTCTAAGAAACATTATTTACATATCTGAAGCGCCAACTCTAAGCATCATCATTAAACCTATGTTATCGGTATAAAAAACAATTGGAAGCGAACCCTTGATATACACACCTGCATGTTTTATTGTTATATTTTCACTAAAAGGTTTTTTTAATAGCCAGTGGTAAAATATTTTATTGCTTGTTAATTTAGAATACTATAATGTCATAAACCTGTCATAAACATTAGTTTACTTAGAGTTTAAATATCTTTAGTTCATCATAAAGAAATTTGAAATAAGTAAAACGTTAAACAAAAAGGACGAGTCTATTCTAGTTATTGACAATTACAAGTTCCATAAAAATCTTGCTAATAATAGCAAACGTTGACAATGTGTAGAAAGAAGTTACATCCACCTCAGCTTTGGTCTACCCCGTCTTCTCATTCCCACGGGTTGCGCTGTTAGAATCTTTTTTATCATGTTCGATTCAGGGATCCGAGCTACCTGTCCTGCCCACTGAAGGCGGTTTCGCTTAATTATAGTGGTAATATCTTTACTACCAAACGTATGCTTGTAGATATTCTGCAGTTGGCAGAGGGCAAATCCCATTGCTTTTCCCTCTTACTTAAATTCCAAAATTAATTGGAAATGGAAATCCTTTCATCGGTACTAATTTTTGAAGCACATTTTTGTCTACAATTTTCTAGACACATTGGTTTTATTGATTTCGCTAACTGGTTGTAATATCACGACTTTTATATGATTTACCTGTATTTTTAGTCTCTTTCATGTATTATTAATCCAAGATGCAACATGTCGACGTCTGATGTTATCTACATCCTTTCGAGAAACCTTTTTTCGTTTTCTAGAACATTTCGGAGTTGATTCGGAAAATGAAGAAATGGGGGTGTTAGCTTGGGGTGTTGAAAGTAGGTCAGTAGTGGATGAAATGGCTGACTGCGGTTTTTATATAGCATTTTTATACCAAGGACAAAAGTAGTTATCACAATCGTGGTCTGAATGGTTTTTAGGATTCTTTGGGGATGGAATGTAAGTGTTATCTTCCTCTGACTGGTTCTTTGTTAATTTTAAAAATAATTTGTTAAGTTACCATTGTGTACGTATAAATACTATTTTTATTAATTTTTATTTATAAATATTTACCAGAAAATGGTGTCAAATATCTTATTTAACACACACGATATTTTTTTTTGATAGCGAAAATAACATAGAATATAGTAAATATAACTTACGATATTTTTCGTCGGTAAAGATAAAAATTATTACGTTTATATTATTAACATACTCATTTTACTACAAAATATCAATAGATAATAATACATACCTTCATTTCTTTCACTTTCTTCAATCAAATCTTCGTCCCTGTATAATATCGGTAATAGAACATACGATTGTATGTATACTTGGACAAAAGTAAACATATGACATTTTACATTCTAATTTTGGAGGCCTTCTATGAGAAATATTTAAATTTTAATTATTGCAGACGTTAGTTTACATGTTTAGAAGTATGAAAATTTAAAAAAGTGAAAACCGAAATTTTTTGGTTACGATACTTTACGTAGGAGGTGTCGATATATATCTGCAAAAAGCAATAGTTATGCTTTATCAGTATGAATGCATAACTGTAGCTGACCACTCATAAAACATAAAACTACAGGTAAATAAAATAAAAAACAAATTATAGATACTAAATTTATAATTCTTACGCGGTTACATATATAATTCTAATACAAAATCTAGTAAGACAAACTAAAAATTATTAAATTTCAGTTATACAAAGAATGTATGCCAATGGATGACGTTAGCGATTAGTGTAATAGAGTCTGGGGGCTCGAGAGACTGAGACCTCGGAAGCCCTGAAGAAGACATCGAACAGGATGTCGAAAGATCGGCGCAATGATAATCGACTGGGTTCAACCCTGAAGACTGTAGAGTTTAATATTAATTATTGTAATAGTATTAATCTTAGCTCGAAGTTTAATTGTACTAACCACGGAAATCTTTCGGAGCATGCTAGTAAAAGTAAAAGTTAAAATACTAGTTCATGAAAAGGATTTTAAAAAGGGATGGAAAAAGCACATTGTCTGTTTATTAAATGAAGAGTTTGACAGACTATCATTGAATTAACCGAGACAGGAACTGTAATAATTACCAAAATAACTAACAAAGAAGTTAAATGATATTTTTGGGAAAGAGTCAACAGGTTTAAGGGAGACAGAATTAAATTGGCTAGAAGATTTATATTAATAGAATTATGGAAGTGGAACAAATGCCAGACCAATGCATGGTTTATAGGTACCTGTTTACAAAAACATGGAAGATACATACACAAACTACATGGTCATAGATCTACTTAGACACACTATGAAAATATAGGAGAGAGTAATTGATAGACGGACACGTGAATAAAACAAAATATCTAATAATCAGTTCGGTTTAATGCAAGACATATCATCAGGAATAAAGCAGCAAACACCTATATGGTATTCATTGATTTTAAGAAAACATATGACAGAGTTCCTCGAGAGATTCTCTGGTGGAAACTCGATAGGAAAGGAGTTCCAGGTAAATATGATTCATTAGATAGTTTTAAGACAGATGTAGGAGAAATTGATAAATTTTATGTGAAAGTAGTCCTTATTTCTTCTTATTAGTGTTGGATGATATAACAGCGAAACAACAGAATAATATTTCCTGGTGCTTAATCTATGCTGACTAGGTAGTATTAGTGGGAAATACTGAAACAGCCTTAGAACAAAAACTGCAACAGTGGAGACAAGCTCTTAATCAAAAACTTTAAATTAATTTCACAGGACGAGTTTTGCATGAAGAGTCCTAGGACTTTGCATCTTTTTAAACTATCAAAAGAGAGTTGGGTATTTCAAACAATGATTTATAAAAAACTCACAAACGAATGGTTCCCGAGGTCGAAAAACCAGGGAACTCTAAAGCCAAACCCACTTCAGTTCCTAAAGCTGAAGGGCAGGTAACTTCAAAAGAAAATCCAAACGCCAAAAGGTCAGAAAGTTCTAAAGAAATATTTCATGCTGAAAGACAGGGAACCACAAAGTCTGTTATAGTAACAGCGTTGGAAGACGCTGATCTTATGACAGACAAAGAGATTAAGGCTGCAAAGCTATTGGACATCTATAAACCCCAAATTAGTAAATTGGTGAAACAAGGCTAAAATTATATACAAGTTAAAAGGGCTGTAATCAAGACCAATTTTATTAAGTCTACTGCAAGGGCAAAAGAGTTATCGTCAAATCCATTACAGGCGATAACAAAACAAAAACAAACTCAGAAAGCAAATGTTCAAAAGGCAATGTGACACGGAAGTACACTGACTGACGAAAGATACGCTGACGATATTGCAATTATAAGGTTGTATATGGGAGAATACAAGTAGCCCTAAATATATTTGATATAAAGAAGAGAGGCAGTCAGTGGTCAAATAACACAATCATCAATTTCACAAAAAAGACAGCATTACAAGACCGAAATCCACTGGCGCTGGGATGAACAGTTATTCCGTTTGACAAAGAAACAAAATACCTAGGCGTGTATTTCGATCATAGGTTTACATGGAATACTCACATATTGAAAACCACACAGAAAGCTACTATGTCCTTGGGATATGTAGAAGGATGTATGGTAAGAATTAGGAAAATTACAAGGGTTATTAGGTGTGTGATGTGGTGAAAAAAGACACAGTAAATGGAAGCAATGTATGGCGGCAATGTGTAGTAAGTTAGAGCAATGTAATAGACAAAGGCTAGTATACCTGTGTACTACGGGAGCCATACAAACAACTCCTACAGCTGCGTTGGAAGTTTCGCTGAATCTTCCACCACTTGATATCATATCCACAAGGCGAAGTCGTATTTTTAATGCTCAGATTAATACATTATCAGCAACATATAAGCTAGGCGCATAGTGCTGACAATAGAAAGTTACTTAATCAGCTAAGAGCAGATATCGCAACCAATCGATGTAACAGCTAAGAGATATCGATTTACCACGCATCACTGCGTGGAAGAAATAAAAAGGCAAGAAATAACGCACCGTTCAATTGCCATCTTCACTGATAGCCAAGCAGCACTTAAGGTACTCAATTTCATAGAGGCAAATTCTAAGCTAGCATAGGACTGTGTCGGTACCCTAAATAAACAGAAGACTATATCGAGGTTACGGTAGCCTGGTTATCAGGGCACGGGGGTCATAAGGGCATTTAAAAAGTAGACGAAATGACAAAGAAGACTCATTAATACCTTGCATTGGCGGTGCAAAAGCAGTAACAAGAACGACTCCAGAAAAGTGTATAGCACACAAATCTCTGAAATAGTGGAGGAATTCACCAGGCCAAAGACAGGCAAAACAGTTCATTATGGAAAATACGCCAAAATAATACGCCATAATAATAATGATAACAGTCAACGCCATAGTAGATGTTAGATCTGCGCAGATTCTGTCATCTAGAGGAAGAAACAGCAGAGCACATCTTGTGTCAGTGCGGCAGCCTGACACAAAATGTACTCTGCTATTTTTCCGCATAAAACATGCGGTTCTTTACATTAGGCGAAGAAAAGCCACCGGCAAAGAGCTACCTGGAAGGTTCAGTTTCGAAGCTATTAAACCTTTTAAAAAGGATCAGACTAGAGAATATAATCTAGGTTTAAAGAACCACAGTAGATCTGCAAAGGTCACAATGAAATAGGCCAAAAGCAATCTCATTGAATCTATCTATCTATCTACTACAAATAAAATAAAAACTTGATGCTAAAATGATTGTAAAAAGTAATACTTATCGTATCTAGTATAATAGTAATAGTGAAATGCAGTAG